CGTCGTAATGTCAGGTACCAGGGTTCGTGAAGGATAGATGGATGGTTCGAGAGACGCCGATGAATTCCTGTAGTGTGTGAGAAGTCCGACCAGGTCGCTAGATTCAGCCAAGCAAGACGAGCACGAGGAAGCGAGAATGTATGTGTGCGATAATTGGCGATTCAACGAATAAAAGCAAACAACTCAATATTCGTTCATGCTATGTCGTTTCAACTCACTGTTCGTCTGAAAGCAATGCAAATGAATACATGCCCCGAGAAGAGCATATTACAAGGTTTAAACAACGGATCAAGGGGGGGGGGGGAGTGTTGTTTAGGTTTAGGTTTGAGCAACGGATCAAGGAAGGTGTTTAGGTTTAGGTTTAAACACCAGATCAAGGGAGGTGTTGTTTAGGTTTAGGTTTGAGCAACGGATCAAGGGAGGTGTTGTTTAGGTTTGAAGAACGGATCAAGGGAGGTGTTGTTTATGTTTAGGTTTGAACAACGGATCAAGGGAGGTGTTGTTTAGGTTTAGGTTTGAACAACGGATAGAGGGAGGTGTTGTTTAGGTTTGAACAACGGATCAAGGGAGGTGTTGTTTAGGTTTAGGTTTGAACAACGGATCAAGGGAGGTGTTGTTTAGGTTTAGGTTTGAACAACGGATAGAGGGAGGTGTTGTTTAGGTTTAGGTTTGAACAACGGATAGAGGGGGGTGTTTTTTAGGTTTAGGTTTGAACAACGGATCAAGGGAGGTGTTGTTTAGGTTTAGGTTTGAACAGCGGATCAAGGGAGTTGCTGTTTAGATTTAGGTTTGACCACGGGATCAAGGGAGGTGTTGTTTAGGTTTGAACAACGGATTAGGGGATGTGTTGTTTAGATTTAGGTTTAAACAACGGATTAAGCGAGGTGTTGTTTAGGTTTAGGTTTGTAATGTTGTGAATTCCCGGAGAAATCCCAGAAAGATCCCGATGGGGAGGAAAAGGTCGGAGGACCCATGAAAGAAGAGAAAAACGGGATAAGTGGGTCTCGTGTGTCTCATGGTGAACGAAGTGAGGGACACAAGTAAAGCATGCGATGTGAACGGACGACGTAAACTGGGAGACAGAAGTAAGACAGTTGAAGTTCGGCCCTGACTGAGAGAGGACGCATGAGTGGACGCCTAAGAAGAATAAATGATTGGTGAAACGAGTGTTATATTTCAGTAGGAGGACTGAATGTTTTTCCACACGTCGTAATGTCAGGTACCAGGGTTCGTGAAGGATAGATGGATGGTTCGAGAGACGCCGATGAATTCCTGTAGTGTGTGAGAAGTCCGACCAGGGCGCTAGATTCAGCCAAGCAAGACGAGCACGAGGAAGCGAGAATGTATGTGTGCGATAATTGGTGATTCAACGAATAAAAGCAAACAACTCAATATTCGTTAATGCTATGTCGTTTCAACTCACTGTTCGTCTGAAAGCAATGCAAATGAATACATGCCCCTAGAAGAGCATATTACAAGGTTTAAACAACGGATCAAGGGGGGAGGGGGTGTTGTTTAGGTTTAGGTTTGAGCAACGGATCAAGGAAGGTGTTTAGGTTTAGGTTTAAACAACAGATCAAGGGAGGTGTTGTTTAGGTTTAGGTTTGAGCAACGGATCAAGGGAGGTGTTGTTTAGGTTTGAAGAACGGATCAAGGGAGGTGTTGTTTAGGTTTAGGTTTGAACAACGGATCAAGGGGAGGGGGGTGTTGTTTAGGTTTAGGTTTGAAGAACGGATCAAGGGAGGTGTTTAGGTTTGAACAACGGATCAAGGGGAGGGGGTGTTGTTTAGGTTTAGGTTTAAACAACGGATCAAGGAAGGTGTTGTTTATGTTTAGGTTTGAACAACGAATCAAGGGGAGGAGGTGTTGTTTAGGTTTAGGTTTAAACAACGGATCAAGGAAGGTGTTTTTTAGGTTTAGGGTTGAACAACGGATCAACATTATGGCACGAGGGTAGTAACCCATAAGTGTTCCGTTCTACTTCTAACCCAAGTCTGAGTCCGAAAAATCTCAGCGCAGTGCCCAAGCTCCGTAGCACCGGCGAGGATACTGAAATACTTTGGGTAGATTTTTAATTCAAATTTTTGCTCGGGCAGGGCCGCTAGGCTACACTTTTCGATTTCCAACTGCCAAGGGATTTTTCACGTGCGCAACAATACACACGGGTGTCTCACTACACAGAGAAAAAAAGAAATTACTAGAAGTTCCCCTAGGGAAAAACAGTTTGCTATACATGGTTTGGTTGGCAGTAATGGATGTTGTCATTCTGCGTCGCTATAGAAGCTCTTTAATCATCAGTCCATAATCTGAAGGAGGACCTCTTTCTTTCACTACAGATCTGTTTACGTGTCACGCCTGGGTTGGCAGTTGTTCTAGTTACATTCTTACTAAATGACCAAATCATCTGATCCTCTGTTTCTCAATGCTGCGTGGTGTTGTTCCTACAGTCTGTCTAATAATGTCTCGAATAGTGAAAAAATCACAGCCTTTACCAGGGCATGAATCCGGGACCCCAGCACTCTAGACGGACACCATACCCGGAGATCACACAGGCCCCCAAGGGAGGTATACGGTTCTTGCTTTTCTGGTGGCTTCGACCCTAGACACATCGTTCTGTTGTAGAGTTTCTCTGATGTTATCTTTCCATCCTGTTGCTGGTCTGCTCACTGCCCTTCACTGGACTGCTGTGTTGAGTGATATAATCTTTTATTTCGCATTTCTGTCTCCTGGTCCTTTGACATTAGTGATTAGCGATTACAAAGGATTATCATCACAGCACTCCGGACAGATCCATAGGTGCTCTGATCTCCTCCTCAAAAGCTCCACAAGTGTAAAACGACTGATGACGCCTGCTCTGTGTTGGTTAATGAAATGTCTTGTCCCCTCAGTGAAATATTCATTTCTTGCAGTTCCAGGCTGCACCCCGATGTCCATCAGTCTAGACAGAGATATGGAGTCATGTCCTTTGGTATGCTCCTCGGTACGGTAAGTGCAGCGCATGGTATTTATAACATCACCTTTGTCCAATACTGGACTAGCCATAGCAACCGCAGTGTCAGCAAGACAGTCTGCACGCTCGTTCATTTGAACACCCGCATGACCTGGCACAAAGATGAATGTTAGGGCAGCTGTTCGTGCAGTGCGTAGTGTTGCAATCCATTCTTGCCTGAAAAATCTAGTTTTTAATTTTTTTAAGCATATTCATCAAGTCACTCAGAATGCACACGTGTGTTCCTTTGACATTGTCATGGTCAAATGTCGTTTGATAAGACTGTTTATATTTCACTACATTCTTTCTAGTGATTGTAAATCCATATATATTTCCCTTCGTCATGTGTATTACTACAGACTTGAATCAACACATAATGAAGCACAACAATGAACCTTTTTCGCTGAAACACACTGGTCATGTTGCCGGTTAGGTTTAAGTTAGTCTTCCCAAATAAAGTAGGTCACGTTTGATTCACAAGTTTGTTGGGCTGGTCTACTTTAGTGCAGGTTACAGGTGTGCAGTTAGATGTTTGCTTTCTGGGTTGTCTTGCATTTACGTTTTGATTACGAGAAAGAGAATGTCTGTGACATAGGTTGCAGTGCTGTCTAAGGGGGTGTGTTGGACCCAGTTTGTCCATGTTTTTGAAGTGTTAAAAGCGCTGGTATAATGAAATATACAACACGCGATATCAACGGCATTGCGAATCACCCCCGTAACCTTGTGCCAATGTGACAGATACAGAAACTACCAGTCAGTAGTGAGCTAGTGTGTATATGGGCAGTCCGTGGGGAGACCAACGTTAGTTTTACTCAGGTTATCATATAAGATTGCGCATCTCTCAACCATTAATTCAATATCAGTCATGTGATTACAATGACAACTTAAAATGTATCGTCTGATCTTTTTGTTTGCGTCTTTCTTTCTTTCTTTTTTTCTTCCCTCACGGGCTGTAAACTCCGGCAGAAAATTCTGGTTGTTAGTCCACCTCGGCACTTTGGTCTTGTTCCAAAACCTAGTTTTTAACTAAAACACCAGAGTGCATGCACTGCCGGCTTGCTAGTCCTGTCGCAGATTCACCTGAGCCCCGTTAGCCAGGAAGTTTCTGAATTACACTTCACGGCTACCGTAGCAGGGCTGTGGCACAAGGGCACACCCTCCTTTTCTCAGTGTTAGCAATCCCCTACTTTGTCCTCTTTACTGTCTATCACACTCTCAAGACGTAGACGTGGCGTTGGGCTTTAAGAGCTCTCTCTCTCTCTCTCTCTCTCTCTCTATCTCTCTCTCTCTCTCTCTCTCTCTATCTATCTATCTATCTATCTCTCTATTCCTCACACACACACACATACACACACACACATGACAAGAGAATCTTTCAAAGTACTAGACATTCTGTGGAGGGCCAAGTACTCGAACTACTTATACTGTCAAAAAGGGAACTACGGTAGCGTAGAAGCCAGACACTCACTTGTGAAGCCGAAGGTCTAGTGTTCAAATCGGTATCGAATGGGATTTGTTTTTAAATTGGCCTAAGTCGATGCAGCTTAAATTGGTAACTATAATTTCCTGATATTTGGCTGCTTCGGGATACGTCAGTCAAGTGGTTTTGTGTATTCGTGTGGTTTTGTTTGATTTATGTATGTGCTGATGAAGGCTCTGCAGCCGCAAAGTTCACTTTTCGTTTGTCTTTGTTATAATGTGAAGCTCGCTGATCGTTTGAAATTAATATATCTTTCCCTAATATTTAGAATGTAATGGCGAATATGTGTAGAGAATGTAGGGTTTGGTATCAGTGTAATGACAAATATTTACGAAAGTTTAGACTGGAGTAAAGTATCTGCGAAATTGTAAAAATGAATATCTATAACACTATAAACAGAGTAACCTTGAAACTCTACTGTCGATCCCTTAGAGTTTCGACGTCGCATTCTGGAGGCAGCGGAATCTCCTTGCCCGTGTAGTTAATAGCATCTCTAATCTATAAAACTATAAACAGAGTAACCAGCAGACTCTAATGTCGATTATCCCTCAGAGTTTCGTCGTCCCAATCTGGAGGCAGCGGAATCTCCTTGCCCAGGTGGTCAATCTCCTCCAGGATGTAATCCAGGTCGCGTGTTGTCAGGCTGGGGTTCGAGACTGCGACACGAAACAGATTAGGTAGGTCGCCTAGAGGCTGGTACTGAACCATGAGACCGCCAGACTCCATCATCTTGGCTTTAACCAAAGGGGCTACCTGGAGATCAACAAGAATAAGTCAAGGGGCGTGGTACATTCTTCCTTCTGCATTCTTGATTGACTGACGTTTAAACCACACCTGGACCGCATAACACAAGGGGCGTGGTACATTTGTTCTTCTGCATTCTTGGTTGATTGACGTTCAGCCCCCACCAGGACCACATAACTCAAGGGGCGTGGTACATTTGTCCTTATGCATTCTTGGTTGATTGACGTTCAGCCCCCACCAGGACCACATAACTCAAGGGGCGTGGTACATTTGTTCTTCTGCATTCTTGATTGATTGACGTTCAGCCCCCACCAGGACTGCATAACTCAAGGGGCGTGGTATATTTGTTCTTCTGCATTCTTGATTGATTGACGTTTAGCCTCCACCAGAACCCAGTGAGACAAAGTGCCACCAGTCGGATGAGAATTTCACTAGGGGAAAGTCTCAAAAACCCCGTTCAAACAGTTAGGTTATATTTAGGGTTCCGACGACAGCCGAATGGAGGAATGTCGTGTCACCGGCTGTTTAGCGCTCGTTGTGCGGTCCTGGTGTTGTTGCATTGCATTCATTCATTCAACACCCACAATATCTCACAGCGTATTCCGACCTTGGGTATCTTCTGCCTAAACTTCTGGTTCTAACACAGTTAAGAACGCTTGGTTATCGTTCAAATGACCAAGGTTGAAATCTTCATGAAAGTGGTCGGCTTTAAAAAAATAATGGGGATGGCAAAATAAAATCAGTACCCGTACATTTTGTGGCACTAGCCATGCGGCCCTAAATCCCCAGGTTCAAACCCCCCTCCCCCCACCCTTTTTCTGTTTTCCACCTTCTCATACACCACCATCAGCATCACCATATAGCAGGTCCTTTGCAGAACGTCGCTTTCATCACGTGCCTGGAAGAAACTCCGTCACTCGCCAACTCTTTCGCCTCGTTCACTTATATGCCAAAAATCCTGCAATGCTAAAATAGGACAGGAAAGACAGACAGACCGACGTACTGAGATAGCAATTGACAGTGACGGTATCTGCGTCATACCCACAAAATGGCTTCCAGACGAGAACTAAACGAATTCCAACTAACCAACCAATGAGAGGGACAACGTTGGAGATGCGAAAAATGCATCTAAAATATCTTACAACAGTATAATTAAAACTAACTTTTTCTGTGACGCGTGTGAAAGGAAAAAAAAAAGAATTCAAAACAGTAAATTATCTCCAGAGTTGCATCAATCAAGTAACCAACCTCATGTAAATGAGCATGTTTGACCTTTTCGATGGCACGTGTTCTCCAAGATGGCGGAAGGTACCAGAAACACACGTTTGGGGCCTCGATCTGGAAAAAAAAAAACCAAATTTTTTCTAAAGCTTAAAAATTTCATTTTTGTGTGTTCCCCTTCTGGGGTCAAGTTCAAGGACACCGAGACAAAAAGAGAACATCGGGAAAATGGGTCTCCATAACTGTACACACAATAAATAATAATAAAATAATAATAATGAAATAATGCTGTGAATGCTAAAAAAATATAAATAATAAATGAATGATATGAAATAAAAGCAAATGTATTACAAATACTTTAAAGGCGAATTTAAGTGCATAGGAGGAAGTGCGCGAGTGTTGCGCGCGTGTGCGCGCGTGCGTGTGTATGTGTTTGTGTGTGTGTGTTTGGGTGGGAGGAAGGCTGCCCTTTACAAGTATACAAGAAGAGGGCAATCAAGAGTCTTCTTTTTCTTCTTCTTCTTCTTCTTCTTCTTCTTCTTCTTCTTCTTCTTCTTCTTCTTCTTCTTCTTCTTCTTCTTCTTCTTCTTCTTCTTCCTCTTCGTCTTCCTCTTCGTCTTCTTCCTCTTCCTCTTCGTCTTCCTCTTCTTCTTCTTCTTCTTCTTCTCCTCCTCCTTCTTCTTCTTCTTCTTCTTCTTCTTCTTCTTTTTCTTCTTTTTCCTCTTCCTCTTGATCTTCTTCTTCTTCTTCTCCTCCTCCTTCTTCTTCTTCTTCTTCCTTTTCTTCTTCTTCTTCTTCTTCTTCTTCTTCTTCTTCTTCTTCTTCTTCTTCTTCTTCTTCTTCTTCTTCTTCTTCTTCTTCTTCTTCTTCTTCTTCTTCTTCTTCTTCTTCTTCTTCTTCTTCTTCTTCTTCTTCTTCTTCTTCTTCTTCTCACTTTTCTTTAGCCCTTGAAAGGCTTATTCACACGTTGGGCTGAGGTTTGCAGCTAAGCTGCTATATCTACGCCTTTCGATTTGACACATTTGATATTAGCAAACCAAGAATTAGTTGTACAGTAATCTAAATGAAATCTGCTACATGCGTGCTAGGAAAGCGGGGAAAAGTGCGGTGTTCTTTTTTAAAAGGGTGTTGTTTGGGGTGGGGGGGGGGGGTGAGTGGGATGGATGTATATTGTTGGGTGGAGAAGGTGTTGCTGGGGAGAAGAGGGGTGTATTGTTTTAGAAGGGGTGTTGCTGGGGTAGAGGGGTGTTGTTAATGTGTTGTTTTTTTTTTTTTTTTTTTTTTTTGGGTGGGGGAGGGGGGGGGGGTATTGTTAGGGGATATTGTCGAAGAGAGGCGGGGGTGTTGTTTTTGGAAAGGGTTTTGTTGGAGGATATTATTTGGGAGGGGTGGGGGTGTGGTTTTTGGAATGGTTTGTTGGGGGGGGGGGGGGCTGTTGTTAGTGTTTTGTTATTTTGGAAGGGGTGTTGTTGTGGAGGAGAGGGGGTGTTGTTGCGGGAGGGGGGAAGGGTGTTGTTTTTCGAAGGGGTGTTGAATGGGTGGGTGGTGGGGGGATGTGTTGTTGTTGGGGGGGGGGGGCGGGGGATCATTTAGTCTGTTAAGTTTTTCCAACGAGGATTCAGGCGATCTAAGCCCCAGTCTGCAGTGTCCTCGGTCTGGTTGTCTGTCTGTTCTTTCGTTTTTTTTTTTTTTTTTTTTTTTTTTTTTTTTTTTTTTTTTTTTTTTTTTATTGATTAATTTTTCATTTCAGTTGGTATATTTGTACAAAAAGGGTTTAGGGATAAATTTACTGGGCTTTGTTTTTATCCTAAGAAAAGATTATTAATTTTGACCTTCTCTGTTGCGAAGCCCTAACGTAAATAAAAACGTCAGCTATATTTAATAGTGTCAGCCCTGTATGTACATCTCATAATATGAAGGTCAGATATGCTATTTACAACACGATTTCTGTGTGTTTCTGATAATTAACGTCACAATCCCTAAACGTTAACATTCACTTGATTACCTCAATATTTATTACGCCCCTTGAAGGATATAAGTAGAAGACAGGGAAATTATATTTTCAACAACTATTCGAGACAAAGCAAGGATAATAAATTTAGTAATTTATATTTGTACGTAAATAATATTTGTAAATATCGGTGACCGTTATGAATATCAAGTCATATTTGTCAATTCAGCCCTATATATGAATGGGAGAGATATTCACAAATGTCAATTATATTATGAATACAAATCATAGTTGTGAATTTCGGCCATATTGGTCCATGTCGGCTACATTTGTCTACGTCAGTAATGTTTGTGAATGTCTGCAATATTGATGGTTGTAACATTTCTCTCATTTTTTTTTTTCTCTGACCCTTTTTCCCCCACAAGCAACGCTGGAATGTTATTGCATATCTATGGACAAGAGAGTTATCGTCGATGCCATTCGAGAGACTAAACGCCTGAGACTTTCAGTTTTGTGGAAAATGAATTTTCACTGAATAGACTGCATACCATAGGTGTACCATTTGGAGTAGCGAGACAGGAAAACCTGTCGTTAGATGAATCAGAACAGAATGTGAGTTGTTAGCCTAAAAACACTTGGAGACATACTCAAAGGGAGATAATGCATTTATGGTCATGTCCGATGTGTGGTGATGGTGATCTTTAAATGAACAATTGACAGTTTTATTGTATATGCAAGGACCATGGGAAAACTCACCTTGTCAAGCACTAGGTGGAATCCTGCTCGTTCTTTCACTTTATCTCGAAAATATCTGATGACAAAGAAGGGAAACACAATCATTACCAGACTCGGCCCATATGTTGTACACTGAATCTACTTCTTCTTTGTTAGTCCAAGGATTAACTGCTGTTGTACCTGTTTATATGATAGCTGCGAGATCTGCACCTTTTGACCGACACCTGTTGCCTGGACTGACTTTCCTTGTTAGTTTTATGAGAAACTGCACAATTGTTTTTATTGTTCCCAACTTTGTTCCTAATCCACGGGTGGTTTCTAACTTCATTTTTCTCAACATTAATTGGCAGACAGTTAGACATACTGACATTTTATGTCCTGACTGACAGAAATACCGTAACAAACAGACATTTGTGTAGACATTAAAAAAAAATCAAATAACGAGATAGGCACAGAAAGACAGATAGATACGTAAACAAAAAAGCTTTTAAAAACTTTCATGCAGGCATCTAGTGCTCATCTTTGTGTGTGTGTGTGTGTGTGTGTGTGTGTGTGTGTGTGTGTGTGTGTGTGTGTGTGTGTGTGTGTGCGCGCGCGCGAGCGCGCGCGTTTACCGGCTGTAAATTCCGGCAGAAAGTTCTGGTTGCTCATCCGCTTATGGACTTCAGTCTTGTTTCAGAACTTGAGTTCTGCATGCGCATCCATTTTACAAGTCTGGCTTATCTGTATACAGTCTACTGGTTCCTTGCCTCTTAGTCAGACGTATTCCGACTTCGGAGGACACCCCTAATTAGTCGACTCCTACAACATGCTTCTTAAGGAGGCGGTGGGTCTATGCCTGACTGTTCCAAACAATGGAACTCACACGGGTAAGGCCTTTAGTGATAATCAAATTCAGGCACACATAACAATGAATTTAAACTCATAAAGAGACATATTATTATGCAGACAGTCAGATGTAAATAGGCCTCCCGACAAACAGAAACAGAAAAATGCATAATGAAATAGACATGCACGGAAAAACATAAGCGTAGACAGACACAAACATACCGGAAAAAAAAAAAACAGAAATGCAGACAGACATAACTTACGCGGCCAGCTGAAAATTTTTGCTGATTTGCTCTTCAAAGCCAAGATCACCCTGAAAACAACGCAAGGTGAGCTGGTCAGAACTAAATCAGGAGAGTCAACAAAATGAACTTCACAATTTCTGATGGTCTGTGTTGTTCGGATAAGGATTTGTCTGTTGGTTAGTTGGTTGGTACGTTTGTTAATAAGTGTTTAGGTTGGCGAATCCCCTGGCTCCATGAGCCAAGGCAGAGGAAATATTATTAGCTTAGGCTGGGCTCATTCCAAGCGGGGGGTCGGACACAGTCCTTGCCTGGCTGTGTTCAACATACCTAACATCACATCTATCACTGTCACTGTTTAGCACTCGCATTGTAAGGACGAGCTGCGTGGCTGGGGTATCATGAAGAGGAATGTACCTAAGTTGACACTCCAATTTAAGACATTGCAGCATTATGTCCTTTGGAAAAAAAACACATACTGCCCTACGTTAACCTTTTAAATTAATCTCTCACTCTATCTTGCCCCCCCCCCCTTTTTTTTTTTAATATAATTTTTTTTTTTTTTTTATTGACATTCCTGAAATGAAACAGCTGATAAACTAGCAAAGGAAGGTGCAACTGAAGAACAACCTGACGCGCCAGTCTTCTATCAACAGAAGAAGAGAATAATCAAATCAATCAGAAAGCCACCAAAACTGACACAAGACGATTACCGTATTGTGGACAGACCAGAGCAAGTCATTATTCTACGCATTAGAACATGATACAATCGACTTCGCAGCAACACGTATACACAATTCAAAAATGGCAAATCAGTCATGTGCCCATGTGGACTGGTACCTGAGACAACAGTTAACATCCTCCAAGACTGTCCAAAATACAACATTTCCAGGCACAACTTCTGGCCAAGAGAGACACTCGTGGCAGCCAAACTTACGGGCCGCTAAGTGAATTACAAAAGACAGCGAAGTGCATGCTAGAGACAGCAATGTAGATATATATAATTTATTTCAAGCGAACAAACAAAAAAGAAAAAAAAAAAAAAAAAAAAAAAAAAAACACATTGAGATTTATGCACATTAACCTCTGACCCTACCTTGGCCTTCCACATTAGCCACAGTTTTAAGACATCGTTGTGTCTCCCACATTGGATGCTCATGTCTCCAGTGTCGTAGCTGACGTCATAATGTTTATCTGTCTGGAAGAGGTAGGTGGCGCCCATGCCGTTGCACATTTTCATCAAGCCCTGGAGGTGGAGTCAATAACTTTACTGATAAATGTGTTTGAATAGCACAACTTTGCCAGTAATATTGTAGTAGTAGATTTTTAAGCCACCAGGACATCACACAGGCGTTAAACACCCAATGACACACAGTGCCACCGTGCGGATGAGGATTGCCCGTGTAGAGGTCACAGAAACCACGTTCAGCCATTAGACCATATTTATGGCTGGGCTATATTGTGGCCCCTGGCAATAACTAGGGTGGGGCTTTAAATAACGAAAAATTGCATCCCAAAAGGAGATGACTGGATAGTATGCTAGTAATGTTGTTTGCATAAGATAACTTTAAAGTTATTAGATTACGATAATGTCTTCTTCTTATTCCTGTACTGTTCTTCTTCCTTCTTCTTCGTTCATTCGAGGTCGTAATTCCCTTTTGTCCATTTAAAGCATGGTTGAGATATTTTCGCCTTTCCACCAATATATCCGACCCCTTCATGCATTTGTTTCATGAGTTAATCTTCCTAGAAGAGGAAAAATCAGCACTATTCAGAAACGGGAGACAACTTTAGTACAATAATCACCTTATGTTTGGTCAAAAACGCGGAACACTGCAGCGGCACACCCATCATTTTGTGTGGATTCCAAGTGATGGAGTCAGCCCTGTGCGGGAAACAAGTGTAACAGGAAAGTAAGTAAAGTAAGAATTAAAAAAAAAATGTCTTAGAAAGAGTTGAGAGATTATTTTCCTTGTATGATGATTATTTCCCTTGATGATTTTTTTTTTTACTGGCATATACAAATATTGGATATCGAAAAAGACTACTGAAAAGCAAACATTGTTACAATATTTTTTCACCACATTGCATTGTCATCCAAAAGGAATATATTGGCAAAATGTCAGCGTTATAACTTATTGGGGAAAAAGTGTTAAATACGAACGCAAACTGCCAGCTAGATTAACATGATCAAAGATAATAAAAGCTTATAAAAATGACTCTTTTTTTAGCGCCAGTTTCGCATGGAAATCTGATGCTTAACTCATATAAAAAGCATAATTATCCGATGTCACCTTACGAAGGGGTTGGGGGGGGGGGTTTGGTGGAGAGAGAGAGAGAGAGAGAGAGAGAGAGAGAGAGAGAGAGAGAGAGAGAGAGAGAGAGAGAAGAAGAAGAAGAAGAAGAAGAAGAAGAAGAAATGCATAGCTACTAAAATAATTGTGTCATAATTCTGACATGGAAAATCTTTGTATTTATTGAGTGAAACTGTGACGCAATCTTTGCTGCTACAAGCTGTCCTTTAAGTCCCCGACAGTTACTTTGCTTTACGTTAGCATTACTAAACTACACAACTCTCTAAACGCGATACGCAATTATTTACAAGAATTGCACACACATAAATCAGTAAAACAGATATACATGCAAAACTCAAGTGTTGGTACAAATTCAAAGTCCAAACGGACAAACAGCTGCGATTTCACAGCTGGTGAACATATACAAACACACACACACACACACAACAACAACAACAACAACAACAACAACAACAACAACAATTCTTATTTCCGCTTCGATGTAGATATAAGGTGCTGCTTCTTTCTCTTCTGGCCGCTTTGACCATAAACACATCGCCAGCTTTTGATTTTTATGTTGTCTAGTGTGTCCTTCTGTCATTGTGTCCTTCTGTCTTTCTACTTCTTTCTATGAGTGCCGATCAATATATGGTCTCTTTGTTAATTATATGTAGAGTTTCTTGGGCGTTATGTTTACACTGCGTCTACCTTCTCCTCTGTTGGTGACACCTTGCACGCTAAATGGAGTCGTAGGTAGGTAAGTTGTACCCCACCAGGACATCACCCAAGCAATAAATACCAGGTGACACAAAGTGCCACCATGCGGATGAGGATCACCCGTGGAGAGGTCCCGGAAGCCCCGTTCAGGTATTAGGCCATATTTGGGGCCAGGCTATGTTTAGGGTGGGGCTTCAAAATAACTAAAAATTGCATCCCGCATGGGGGGGGGGGGGGGGACGCTATAGTATAGTTATATGGAGTCGGCGAAGAGTAGTGGCTATACTTTCGGCTGCGGCGACCCAAAGGTCATGGTTTCAAATCCGAACTGATTCAGACTTTCTTCCAAAATGACTTAGTCTCCCTGGCGAGGAGCGACTGGCCGAAAGGTTAGAACACTGGTCTTTCATCCGGGAGACCCGGGTCCGAATCCTCGGTCAGGTTGGGTTTTTTTTTTTTTTTTCTGTGGGGGGCATAATAAAAGCCTCGCCTGCACAGTCGTGGCGACAGCACTAGCCATGCGGCCTTAAATCCTCAGGCTGAAAAAACCCCCTGCCTGCACCGCAAAAGTGGTAAAATAAAGGTAATCATTGTCAGTATTCCTGGTTAACCATAGCCTCAAAGGGGTCCTGGGAAATAAAGGCGACCGGCGTGATGTTGACCATTTCACACACCGCGGGCCAAATGGTCTATAAAATAAAGGTCTAGCCCTATATGCCCAATACGCATGAAGACATGGAAATATGTCCTTCACTTTTACTTGTATGATTTGGCATGACAAGATCTTCGCTGTGAGTGGGCAAACTATTTGATTTGCTGTCCTTGTTTGAAATTTAGAATTCATTCTGTGCCAGATTTTCACCTCATGATCTCGTAAAAGATTTTATCTCTTCTAGTACCTCCTGCAGCCCTTCTCATACATCTCATTTCCATGTTTACTTATTTGTTTTTCTTGATGTTTTGTGAGGTACCACATTTGGCACTGACATAATTGTGTGGGACTGAACTTAAGTAAGCCAAAGACACTGTCACAAACATCTAAACGGATATTAATCTATGTCACTGTGACTGTGCTGAAGTTGATGTTTCAATAAAAGATGATTTATCAATATTTACCTTTCTATACCTTGGAACAGATATTTGTAGTCACGTGTTAGCAAAGCCCCGCCTCCCCATGCAGCCTGGAATGGATGTCAACATTGACGTCAGAGAACTGTGGGCCACGGCTGCTCGCTTGAGTGTATGTGTGTTTACACATATAGAATGGTGTGTTTGCAATCATGATTACATTCATTCAAACGTGGGCGTGCATGCGTGTGTGCTGTATAAGTGTGTGTGTGTGTGTGTGTGTGTGTGTATACACACATATATAAATGTGTGAGTGTGTATGCATACACGTATACTTGCTTGCTTGCTTGTTGTACCCCCACCAAGACATCACACAAGCAACAACAAAAAAAACACCCGATGACACAAAGTGCCACCATGCGGATGAGGATCACCCGTGGAGAGGTCCCAGAAACCCCTTCCAGCCGTTATGACCACATTCATGGCCCGGCTATATTCATGGCCCCCGGGTGGGGCTTCAAATAAGGCAAAATTGCATCCCACTTGGGGGATGGTTTGGTTCACAACACCCATTCGGGCACTTTCTCTTGAGGAGCGGATGTAGCTCCTCAGCTACAACACTTATGTTCTCAATATATAAATGAATGCGGATGTCCAGGAAAGATCCCAAACGCTACACAGAAACACGAATACGTTTGAGCAATTAAAATTCCTTAGCCAATGGTTGGCACAAAGAAACCGGACCACAATTATAACCGACACTGTTAGCAATAAGTTGAACGAGGTCGATTTTTGTTTGTTTTCTTTTTCATAAAAAGGAATGGAATTAAATTGGCACGGCAATTGTCTTTTACTTTTTCATGATATTAGTTGAATCTCTAAAGATGTTTGTTGCAGTGAAGGATTGATTTTGCAGACGTCATGTATGTGAGAATCATAATGCGTTGGGGCAATGATGTTTGATGTAGATGTTTATAAGTTCGGTTATCCTCACGGCACCCGGACACATCCATAAGTGCCCAGACTCACCCACAGAATATACATCGGAGTTCTGAGGTAAACAGTGTCAGTTCTGTGCTACTTGATGAGACCTCTTGTGTAGCTCTCGTTTCGGCGCTGGCTATACGAATTTTCAAACCCAGTTCTCGAGTGTAGACCTACTGCCTCTAAAATTGTATCTCTTATCTGTCTGTCTGTCTGTCTGTCTGTCTGTCTGTCTGTCTGTCTGTCTGTCTGTCTGTCTGTCTGTCTGTCTGTCTGTCTGTCTGTCTGTCTGTCTGTCTGTCTGTCTGTCTGTCTGTCTGTCTGTCTGTCTGTCTGTCTGTCTGTCTGTCTGTCTGTCTGTCTGTCTGTCTGTCTGTCTGTCTGTCTGTCTGTCTGTCTGTCTAGTGGCACTAACAATGTCAGTACCACTCATAGGCCGGCTATCTGACACTATAGCAGATAAAGCGAGTCTATCAGCTCTTTTGTTGCCAACAACGCCCGCATACACTGATATAAAGATGAAGGTAACTGCACGCACAGTATTCATTCCTTACGTCCTTCTTAGGACGTAATTTTTTGTTATTTGAAGCCCCACTCTGGCTATTGCCAGGGGCTGCAATATAGGCAGGTCATCATTATGGCCAAATGTCTGAACGCGGTTTCTGGGACCTCTCCACGGTGATCCTCATCCGCATGGTGGCACTTTGTGTCATCGGGTGTTTATCGCTTGTGTGATGTCCTGGTGGGGTAAAAAGCCAATCCAATGCACGCACAGTGGACCTTTGCCGTGACTCAACCCATTGCTTCTCTCCGGTGCCAACCTCGACACGCCAGATCGTAATCAATAACAATCAAACTGCTGCTACTTCTACTAGGACTCCTCACTGGCTGCTGAAGATGGGAAAGGGGCGCCTAAGGGAACGTCTAGGGTGTTGTGATGTCAGTTATTATCGCAACGTAACGCAGGACATGTCAGCAAACAATATACTCACATCCAGGTGCAACCAGATTCCATACTGCTCGCACAAATCAGCCAGCTCAGGGAGTGGATCGAACGCACCTAGCACCGTAGTTCCACATGTGGCATTGATCATGATCGGCACGGCTCCGGCTTGTTGCGATGCCCTTAGTTTTTCGTGAAGATCCTGCAGGTCCATCTTACCACTAGAAAGACACAAACAAGTCGTTTTCTATATGGTACAGTCGGTACAATACTTGTACGTGAGACCACATACACCAGTAACTTGATGACTGTTGAACGGGTATATAACGAGGATAGCCATAGCAATGCAAAGATTCTTTTTCTGTCTTTCTAGCTCCCAATGAGCATAGGCCCTCACACAACTCAAGCCAAGTAGTTCTATATTTTGCTATCGTATGAAGCTCTCCCCATGTCCTCCCCATCTTTTTTTACTTCATTCTTCAGCTCCCTTCTCCATGGTTTTTTTTTTCTTCCTTTATTCATATGAGCCTGTGGGTTCCAATGCAAAGACATTCTAGTTATATTGTTCTCTGGTTTTCTCATTGTGTGTCTTATCCAACGCCAGCGTCTTTTCTTCACCTCTAGGTCCACTGAATGCAAAGATTAAACAGCATTAAAAGTCTCTGGTTAAGCACCAGCAAGGAAATCAAAATTACAATTCTGAGAGCATGCATCTTCCCTGTAACAACATACTGGTGTGAGTCGTGGACTATCTCCCAGGCCTTTAAAAGGGAAATAGGGGCTTATGAGCTTAAATGCTATAGAAGTTTTCTCAGAATAGCATGGACAAAAGAGTTTCTTTCAAACAGACCGTAATAAGAGCGACGTTCTGCAGAGGACCTGCTATATGATGATGATGCATAGTTTGATTCATGATTAGTAGTGATTTCAGAAGTAATTTTTAGGAATAGCAAGGAACAAGAAGGGGGTGGGGGCAAAAGCATCAAACACCATCTGAACACCGAGATGAACTTGCTCGTAAACAACATCCTGTCGCGAAAGCCCGGGTATTTTGGCCATGTCAAACGTCATGGTTGACTAGAGATAACGGTTACAGAGGGTCGATTTCTTGAAGAAGAAAAGGAGGCAGATGCAGACCTACGTAAAAAATAATACAAGGCATTCAAGATGCACTGGGTATGAAAGCACAAAGGGCTGAAGAACTGGCTAGAGAGAGTGTGACTTTCAGGTACGCCGTGACGAGAGTGACGTTCTGAAAAGAACCTTCTGATCGATGAATGATTTCAACAGCCTTCTTTGTTAATATTATCTGCCTATTATGTTCTCGTCATTCTTGTAAGTAAGTAAAAAAAAAAGTAATGTACTGGAATCTTTTCCACACCTTTAGGCATAAAGGGCATACAGGGTTAGACCTACATATTATAGACCAGTTCGCACAAGATGGGTAATGCAGCCGCCTTTACTTCCCGGGACTGCACCCGGTACCCACTCAAGGTTAGGTCTACCTGGCAGCCAAGGTCATTTTTTTTTTGGGGGGGGGGGGAGGCGGGGGAAGTGTAGCTTCGCTAGGTAGAGAACCCATGACCTTCCGATCCGCAGGCGAGCGTCTATCCGCGCCGCTACGACGACTCCCCGTCATTCTTGTACAAAAGTTTATCTGCAGCTTACCAGTAAATTTACACAAATCGACTGACTGTCCGCGATTCACGACCAGCTCTAAGTTAAGATATTTGTAACACACAGACAATGTGCTAATTATTTTAAGATATTATTTATATTAAGATACTTGCGCGCTTCATACTTGACGTTTTATTTTAATGTTGAAATATGAAGGATTTTGTGTCTTTATCGTTACTAATGCATTTTTCCCCCCGCTGTTCACACTGAGACCTTTGTTTTGACTTTTTTTAAATGTTGGCTAGATATCTATGAAGAACAAAACATTGCACTTAATTTATTTGCCAGGTATCTGACTAACATAATTGTGCAGTCGACTTATTTACCAGATATTTTATAAAATAATACAGCGCCAGACTTATTTGCCAGATATCTCATGAACATAACACAGCGCCAAACTTATTTGCCAGATATCTCATAAACATAACACAGCGCCAGGCTTATTTGCCAGATATCTCATGAACATAATACAGCGCCAGGCTTATTTGCCAGATATCTCATGAACATAATACAGCGCCAGACTTATTTACCAGATATCTCATGAACATAATACAGCGCCAGGCTTATTTGCCAGATATCTCATGAACATAACACAGAGCCATACTTTTTTGCCAGATATCTCATGAACATAACATTATATTCCACTTCTTTGTCAGATATCTGATAAACATAACATTGGACTAAATATGTTTGCCAAATATCTGACGAACGTAATACTGCACCAGACTTATTTGCCACACGTGTCACAACTGTAACATTAAACCGGACTTGTTTGCCAAATATCTGACGAACATAATGTAACACCGTGCAAGACTTTTTTTTACCAGATATCTGACGAACCTAATGCAACACCGTGCAAGACTTATTTACCAGATATCTGACGAACATAATGTAACACCGTGCAAGACTTATTTACCAGATATCTGACGAACCTAATGCAACACCGTGCAAGACTTATTTACCAGATATCTGACGAACATAATGTAACACCGTGCAAGACTTATTTACCAGATATCTGACGAACATAATGCAACACCGTGCAAGACTTATTTACCAGATATCTGACGAGCATAATGTAACACCGTGCAAGACTTATTTACCAGATATCTGACGAAAACACCATTGCACCAGACTTTGTTTCTTGCAAGATATCTCACGAGCATTTTTGTTGAAAAATTTGGTGATTATAACATTGCATTAGACTTTTGTGCTGTATATCTGACGAACATAACATTGCATTAGACTTTTTTACTGGAACATTTCCTGAAGACAGCATTGCATTAGAACTGTTTTAACTGAACCAAGCCAAAAACACAAATGTACACTAGAACTTACTTGCCGAGACATCTGACGAAGACAACATTGTCCGTGCCGATACCCAGAATAGCCGCTGCTCGTTTGATGGAGAAGTGGCTCTAGGATATAAATACAATATTATCATCTAGTGACTGGTGGTTAATCGACGATGGTTCTGGTGATGTCGGTACTTATCACGAACCCCACTCCCCCTCCAACCCCACACACACATGATGAGAGTTCCTTCCCTTCCCATTCATGTCACACGGTTTGTCCTATGTTGAGGGGGTGTCATTTATTCCCTATTTTTAACGCTTTAATCGTTGTCTCATTTCTCGTGCTGTCACCGCTCACTTGCATGATTATTTCCACGTTGTTGCTACTTGTCCGACGGTTCAGTCGTATTGAAACTGCGATGTTTATTTTGTTTTACCTTCGTTCCTTGTGAAAGGTTTCTTTTCCTGGGGTGGGGTGGGGGGAAGGGGCGAAAAAAGAACGTAGAAATACAAATAAATCCCAGTTTCAATACTTATAAACAGTTGAGCCTTCGGCGCTTTCCTTGCAGTACTTCTTACTGTACACAGGCGCCTGCGGCACCTCAAAGAGACTCATGACAACACAACCTCCCACAAACATTATATACAGCAAGCGATCGCCGAACGAAGCCATCTCATAACAACCACTCAACATAGGACAGACCGTGTGACCCGCAGAGGTATAAATGAAAAGGGAGGAACTCTCGTTGTATGAGCGAGTTTGTGATAAGTTCCGTGATTTCATTGTTTGACAATCTTATCTTTCAGATAATCGGATAAAGGATCACCTCATAAT